TCAGCAGTTTGATGCCACTTCCCCTGCTGATAACTACTCAATTGCGTTGCTTTTCTTAATATTCGTTAGCTTCTCTGCCAGAATTATTTTATTGGTATTGTCACAAACGCAAATTAATATCTTGGGCATACTTACTTGCGCGATTTGCATTTCAGGCTTCATTAACTTGCGAAAGTGTTTGACAATAATTTAATTAATTATTTCGCCTAAAATTATATCTCAGCCATTTTCAACTCAAAAGACGTTCCTTTGATTTTATGCGTAATTTTTATATATGCTACATTTATAATTTTAAAGACCATAATTGTTAAATATGTGGTGTATACAGGATGTCCGGATGAAAGGTATCCAAAATAAGATAATTATATCTCAGAAAGTTTCTATTTTACACATTTATGGGTTACTCCACTACATAAGGAAACTATCACAGTTTTTTATGAGTATATAATTTTCTCAATAAATTTCAACGTGGGCTCCCTTGGTGGCACGACAAATATCCAGACGATCCAGCATGTTTGGTTTTACCATAGCCACAGCGTCCTTAATGGGGGCTTTCAGGTGTTGCGGATCGTTGATCTTAAAATGGTAGATAATGTTCTTCACATAACCACATAAGAAAATTTTAATGGGGTAAATCTGGCGACATAAGAGGCTAAGGGATGGGTCCATCTCTGCCGATCCATCTCCCAGTCATTTTTTGTCCAGGTGATTCCTAACATGGTGGCAGAAATGTGGCGGCGCATGCGCGTATGCAGGGCACGAAAGAAAATTTAAGAATTTTCCTTTCATATGATATAAACCGGATACTTGTATAACAATTAGTTTCCGAGATATAAAATTTTTAAATTCTGGATACATTTCAACAACTCCCAGAGACATCCTGAAAGTGCGTGTCTAGTCCATTTAAGTGGGCTCATGCAGTGGTAAGTCTCTTTGCAAGGACAAGAAGGTTCAGTCTAATCTTCCAAGATTTCGAAACTACGCTTCGTCTTATATAATGTCATTCAGCAAAAGGAGGAACGAGTATCAGCGAAACATTTAAACCTATTACTAGTCAATGTTTTCAGCACAGAGCTTCATAGCTACATTACCAGAAACAGTATTCTTTCTCGCTTCTGGAAATCGAAAAGCTTCTAGATCCTGGGTGAACTCCATGACCTTTCATGTTCGGAAAATTGCAGTTCTCTAAGACAACTGATGTTATAGTCTTTGTTCATCGAGAAGCATTAATCTCGTAGACGAAAATATTCTTCATATTTTGACATTCTCTTTGCAAACTATGCACTTTACATATCAGAACTATAATAGCTCTGATTGCCGGTCACGGTAACCGAACAGTCTAAAGCCTATACCGTCTTCGCTCGCTCGGAAGCCGGGATCGTGGGTTCAAATACAACACAAGGCATGGATGTTTTGTGTGTGTATGCAGTTATTCTGCGTGTGTGTTCTGTGTTTCGGCAGAGGCATTTCGACAAACTGATCACACGTCCAAGGAGTCCTACTGTCTGTAAAAATGATCGATGCAACTGATAAATCAGCCCCATGCTCCAAAATGGGACCGAAAAGGAAGAGAAAATAGTTTTCATTAATGAATGGAGTATACGTATTGCTCTGAAGAAGCCAGGACTTCAAGTAATGTGCTTGTAAAATATTTAACGTTCAGCGTGTGCGTGAGTTTATAGGCCCTTCATTTTCCATGGATATTTGCGTGTCCATAAATTTCAGGTTCAAACATTCGTTTGTAACATAACAAATACGGGTTTATTACCTTTCTTCTCGACCGGAAGAATGACCTATGAAAGTTAAGTATTTAGGCATATGGGACGCAACGTCAGAATTCTACAAAGCAGCTTCAGTGTGTATAATTTACCTTATATAGAGGAGATACGAAGTATGGACCACAGAAAACGGACGAGGAAGGTTTAAATGCGAAATAACAGAGCGGACGGCAGAGATTTTGTAGCAAAATAAATCAAGATAATAAGTTACTTAGAACTCAAATATGAGAGATAAGGTTAAAGATAGCAGGATAAGAGACAATAAAAAACAAGGAAAAACAAATTTAACAAGCAGAAAGGTATATTGTGTGATTTTTCTCTACTTTAGATATAATTCCATTCTTGCACACAAAAATGTACGTTTACAAAGCTAATAACACTGCAGATAACACACCACATTACCATAAATCGTACTTATGTATCACCAAACGCACACCATATCGAAAAATATTTCACGTTAAGATTGTGTAACTTAGTAAGGTCTACGTTTAAAGTTCTGAATAAATTCTTGTGTGATAAGGCTCTTTTTAAGAACCAAAGGATATGCGTTTTGAGAGTTTACACTGGAACAGTAACACCAACGCTCGGTGTTCTTGCTAACACATAGTATAGACCCCGAATCTCGGAGTTCACTGAACGATATGAAAATGAAAACATGCGGACGGACAAAATGACACACGTTACTCCATATTTTACAGTTAATTTTTTGCTTATTTAAAAATACCGCGTAATAACACGGCTTCTACAGTAGATATTCATTGGACATAAAGCACTAATTTTATTTACTAACGAGTATTTCAAACTGGTGTTAACCTTTCAAAAGGCAGAATGATCTACAATGAACTGGACGATCGGTACTATTACAGCATAAGCAGAACACGCCAAAAGGCTCAGTATGATGACGATAATAATATTTTTGAGGATAATTATTATTATCAATAACGAAGTCGGAAAATCATTGGGAGCAAAGCAAATTTCACTAATTCTCTTAATTGTCGCGGGATCGAATCCCGATGTGGTCATTCGATTTTTTTTTTTCCAATTGACCTAATCCTTCCAGCCGCACTGTGGCCCTGGGGTCGACTCAGCCTCTAACAGAAATGAGTACCAGGAATATTCTTGGAATGTTCTTCGAGGTAAAGGGCGGCCGGCGCGTAAGGCTGACAACCTTACCGCGATCTATGAACCGACTGTCTAGAAAATGTGGGAGCCTCAACGTCTCACAACCCTATTGGCCTCCACGGCCTGTTACAGGGATAGCTTTACTTTACTTTTTTAAATATATTAATTTGCAACATATTACAGAATCAGGCATACAATTCGGAGAATTTATGCAGGAAGAAAAGGCGTAGGAATATAACTGGGCCTTTTCTTACGAAGTGTAGAATTAAGTGGCGTCTTTCTTTGCCTTCAAGCGCAGGGTCTCGCATTTTACGAGCAAGTCTCCGGCGATCTCGTGCAGCTGATCCCCCTCCCCGCCCACAATTTCCTATTCATTAGCGCTGCAGCCAGGCCCTTTCTCATAATCAACAAAAACTGATTACGGCAGCAAAAATATTCTGCTTGAGCTCTCCAGTAAGTTCCTGTTGAAATTAATAATTGTGATTTTGGAGAAACCATTTCGCATTTTCAATATGAGAAGATGGAGAACGCTGAAGAAAAACAAAAGGAAAGGTAAGAAAAACGCTTGAGAGCTCATGAAGCTAAATAAATTCCCCTACATATTTCGTGTTTACTTTTCTTGAAGTACAGTGAAACAAAGTGGCAGGGATCCGGAGCGGACAGTTTTACAGACCACTGCGTCGATTAAAAACGCAGAAGGAAGAAGAGTGGAACAAATCGAAATATTAAGCGTGGCAATTAGTTATGTTCAAATACATGCATTTCGCAATCTTGGAGAGAGAAAGAAATAACGAAGTTAACGGGGTTACTACGGCAGTTCTCGCAAAGAAGGGATTTCATTTCAGACAATATACTCTATATTTTACCATACAATAAGGCTGCACAAATCTCCATAACTTCTAGGAGCCATGTCTAGTTTTCGGAAATCAGGCAAAAAATGTATTAAAACTTCTGCAGCACTTGCCGCTACCCTACAGTCAGGTTAATTTCATTTTCCTTAAGGCAGCCACATCACATTTATTGATTGCGAGTGAAGTTTATATGCCTGAATCCATTTGTGTAAAAATATCTGTGTTCTACGCATGGCGTTTCATCAAAATATTCGAAAAGTAGTTCATTTATATTGATCATCAATAAATCATTCATGATGCTTGCTTGTAATGATGAAATAAATTAGTTTTTTTACGATATTCGTGAGACTAAAACTCTTCTCACATGAGGCTGTTGATATATGGAGAACTGCAACAATACTGAGGAACTTCCTCAGTACAGGAAATCTATCGCTCATGGAGACAACTTTGCCTAGCAGGTTTAGAAGACGTAACTTCTGCCCCGTAACTTTAAATTCGTACCAATTATCCTTTGCGTAACTCAGAATGTTCTCCTTTTTTCCATAAACAAACAACAGTTTTTTTTAAATGAGTGACTAGGAATTCCATTTTTATTTTTTCAAAATTTCTGAAGATCATCGACCGCTGAATGTCAGCAGACTGTCCCGAACTACAAATGTTGCTGTCAGAAACTTTTCCAATAGCAACTCTCTCTCTCTCTCTCTCTCTCTCTGAGTTACTGTATTCCACCTTTAATCGACTGAAGTTTTCAGCAACATATATATATATATAGTGTCACAGCAAGTTACCGAGTTAAATCACAAAAATATCTCACGCTCACTATAGTCGGTATACCGGCCGAGATTTAAACCGCGCTCCTCTTGAATATAGATGAACTTGATCCAAGTTTGATTCATTTTTTAGCTATCAATCTATATATATATATATATATGATTCTACCACGACTTCCTTCCACATCCCTTCCAATTCACCATTCACTGATTGCTCCGTCGCTCGATGCTATATTGTCTGAGCTTTTGACAGCGTCATTATACAAACTACGGATTAGTAAATATAATTTGAAATGATGATTGTCCTGTTCATGCAAGAGGCAGTTCTGCTTCATTTGCCGCACGCAACCGCACGGTTACACTATGTCGGCATGTGTATAGATTAAAGAAAATAAGTGACGTTACTAAAATGTAGCAGTAACAGATTTAACCAATAAAAACTTGTAAAATTCAATGTAAATTTAATTTATAATACTCACATCACTGTTGCTAGAAGAATCACTTCTCGTGATCAAACAACTGAATAATTGCATTGATTTAGATGATGATGATATCATTGGTAGCTGAGTATCTTTTACCTTTCAGTTGAACACAACAGACCGAAATAGACCACCTTCATCACAATAACGTCTGCACTAATTCAGTATCTGAATCTTTTGTTGATCTAATACAAACACACTAACTACACACTATACAAACCACAGGACGACACAAGGATTGAAAGCACGCAACTACAGTCTTGCGAACTGATGAACTCAAGGAAAGCACAGGGCGCTTTGCCGGGTAACGTGGTACTGGGAGCCTTCTAGAATCTGATGGAGACCAAACAGCTTACCTATATCTTTCAAAGTATACATCCCGTTGTGTCTTAACGTACTTTCAAACTGGGCAGTCAGCATAATACATAATAACAATAATATTCAATAAGACACAATAAGCACGGCGGTCAATGATTGGCCTATTGTATCCTGCCCCGGGTGATTATGATGATAGAGAATTTGGTGCAATGAAAATTGGCAGGAGAAAGCGAAGTACTCGGAGAAAACCCGCCCCAGCGCCACTTTGTCCACCACAATCCCCACTTGACCAGACCCCGGAATCGAACCCGGGCCGCCGCGGTGGGAAGCCAGCGACTAGCCGCTTGAGCTATGGCGTGTATGCGTGTTATTTAAGTCCCCGTGGTGGTGATGATAATACCGCTGCAACAGTTAATAATTTAATTTGTACTAAAATATGATTCCATATTTAATGCATTGACACAGTTCATGGACATATGCTATTGATTGTGTATTGCCTGAGAATGACATAAAATGAAAGGTTGGAACATGTCGCAGTAAGAACTGCACAAATAAACATATTGTCGACATTATAGTATTCATTTTGTATTATTATTATTGTTATAGTTGCGTTGACTGCCCAATTTGAAAGTACGGCTTGCCTGCCTGCCTACCTATCTGTCTATGGCTCTATAGCTCTTTTGTTGGACCCTGACCATATTTTCAATTTCATAACCCTATACATGGTCAGTTGGACTCCTTGGACAGCGGATCAGCCAGTCGCAAGGCCGCTTCCTGTACACAGAACAACATAAACAGAATAAGAGCACAAAAACATTCATTCATTGAATGGGATTCGAACCCACGATCCCTTCGCTCGAATGAGCGAAGACGGCTCATGCCTTAGACCGCCCGACAGCTGTTATCGGCACATATCGTATATGACAGCTGATTACAATTCAAATAAACCTATCTAAAGGTAGATTCTAAAGGGTTTTGCCAAAGGTGGATGACACACAGAATTACTCAGTTTTTAGACTCTTTCAATTATCCGCAATTCTGGGTAATATTGGACACTCCAAGTAAGAGAGGAGACGACGTTTCGGAAACCGGATCTGTTTCCTTCTACTATCGTTCTCCTCTTCTGCTTTTGTGCCCGCTGCTCCGGCCGCTCCTCTCCTCCTCGTCGCTGATACGGCTGCTCCTGCTTGCCGCTCCTTCCACCTTTACCCTTCTTTGCTATTTGGGTACTGAGGTAACCAGGTTGGATTTAGGATAATGGTAGGCATGGATCTCTATCTCAGGTCGACGACAGGTCTTTCTTCGGAGAAACTTTACCACGACTAACCCGTGGCTTTACCTTAGGTTTAATATACTCATTTTTGGTCACAATCACTATTTATGGCAGTTACATTTACACTGTTTCGCTTACAGAGGCGATTCTATAAAGAACAAAGCAAGTGCCTCCACTCACTAGCAGGGTCTCTTATTATCTGTTGCCTACTACTGGCTCGGCGACGCTAACGGACCTACGGGCCTTCCCAGCATCACACCTTAGATGACATCATTCCCCACATCAATCCGGGGATCCACCACCCCTTCTCCATCTGCAAAACTGCACATGTGAAATAATGCCGTGCTATTATCACGTAGGCACCTCCCCTCCAGGGCCTCACACATTCGAGTCCCCTAGTAAACGGTTACACTTCTTCAGGTGAGAAAGGAAGACACATACTCAGTTGGGCACCTTAGAAAAAGATAATCTCTCCAGTGATTGAGATTAGCTCTTTATAAGGGGCCCAACTGAGTAGGTGTCTTCCTTTCTCACCTAAAGACGAAAACAGATCCAGTTTCCGAAACGTCGTGTCCTCTATTAGCCAGAATAAGGAAGATGGAAAAAGTTCAAATACCCAGTAATTCTATCTAACTATGTCGAATATTTGAAAAAAGGAAAGACTTTTGAATAATATTGGTATTAATTTCATAAACCGGTCTGCCAGGCTAGGGCGCTGAAAGAAATAAAAATCAAGAATCGAAGTATTCTCATTATTGCGTGCTGAAAGATGGGATCTTTAATTCTTGGGAACACCATGCATTTGTGATCGCCTGGGTGACAAGGTGCCTGGAAATTTTCCATCCCAGTTATCAGTATCTTACATATTAAGAGTGCGTTTTTATAAATTGGAATATTATACTTGGAATAACGTAGACATAACGTGTCTGAGAAAACCATGCTGAGGATGATGACCTGAAGTTACGACCCTTGTTACTGTGGCTACAGCTCTGTGGGGAATTGTTGTTTGAAGCAACTAACTGTGTGTATGTTTTACAGAACCAGCATGGCCACTTTCTCTCAACACACACTTCGCAATACCTCGGCAGTAAAGAATCAAATTATACTGTTAAAATCTTTCGGAATATACTGGACTGAACACGTGTGGAAGACAGAAAATCGGAATAAAAGGGATATTTGTAACTTACTGCGAGATGATAATCTGAAAAGTAAAGAGCTTAGTAAAGGAAAGTTAAAGTTTTCCTCGTGCTTAACTAATTAAGCACTACGCCATGAAGGTGTATGCGGGAGTGGATGTATAGAACATAACTTATTATTGAATCAAATTTAAAATTTTCGTCACAATGATCTTACTACTTACAGATGTCGCCATTAGTCACATGTAAAGCGATTGCAGTCCATTCTAATGCTTCATACACCGTAGTGTAGATGAAGAAATATCAAATTGGAAAAAACTATACATCGAAGAACTTAATAATTTTAACTCTTCACCAGATATTCTAGAATGACTGAATGAAGAAAGATATAGGAGGCATGATAGGAATGATTTACACATGAATACTTGTGCCTTAAGTCCTTAAGGAAAGAAAGAACTTGGGCGACTTAAACACAGACTTAGATGGGAAGTTGGGCAAGAAGAACCGATTCTGTATTTCAGCATCCGTTGCAATTGCTCAAATTAGCGTCCACTGTTTATCTTCCGTCAAAATTTCAACACNAACCGTAAATCTGTAATTTGGGTGATTGTAAGTGCGAATGTGAAATAAATTTCGCTATACAAAATACGGCGTGAAGTTATTCGTCGCGATATACGCCCGATACGCGACAATCTGTAATATAAAACACCTGAAGATGGCCGTTTGAGGCCGAAACATGTAGTGTTGAAGTGTAGAATGTAAAAAAAAAAGTGTTGCAATTTTGACGGAAGATAAACAATGGACGCTAAGAAGACCTGAACTTGAACTTCATGGGTTAGAACAGGTTAGAGGGGCAGAATATTTTCTGTATGATAAATAAACTCCACTCCAAAAAAGTGGAAAATTTCCTAACTAAATGAGCAACTATCAGCTTCTATGAGCCAGGATAGCGCAGTCGGTGTAGCGACTGGCTACGGGCTGGATGAGCGAGGGGTCGTGTTTCGAGTCCCGGTAGGGTCAAGAATTTTCTCTTCTCAGCATCGTCCAAACTAGCTCCGGGGATCGCCCAGCCTCCTATCCAATGGGTACCAGGGTAAAGCAGCCGGGGTGTGAAACTGACCACTCAACTCCAATTAGTGTCAAGGTCAAGAAAACCTGGATCTATTCAGTTACTCCCCAATACGCCTTCATGGAGTAGTGCTTAATTACTTAAGCACAGGGACAAAATTATCTTATTCTTTCATATCAACTTAAAAAAATAGATCCTGCACCTTTAGATAGTTGGCTACGTAGTCGAAGATATATATAAAGCAGGAAATTCTCCATCATCCATGCGAATTGCTTTCTATGCCTCGTTCACGAGACCTGCAGACCTGCACAGACCCACTGAATGTTAAATTCTGGCTTAGGAGAGATGAAGTAGGAAATAAGAAAGGTCGTAACCTGAAGACTGGAACTGTAATAGGTTTGTCGATGTCATATAGACATGGGAAAGGATATTCTGGGGGGATTTCCCGGAGAGTAAGGAAACCGAGACGAACCAGAAATAGGAACGGGAAGCAAGAAATTGGAAGATCTATATACAGCACATAAGTTTGAAAGGAAGCAGCTGCCTGATCTGAAAGAAACCGAGATGTCTTGAAATGAACTTATAACGCCTTCTTCCTTTCAGATGCTCTGGTCTCTATACTACAAGTAGTAAGAAATGTAAATCAATATTATTCTTTGCAATTTAGCTATTCATCTTTGTGCATACTTTCGACTAGTTAGGATCGTGAATAAGCATTACATTATGATCTACAGATGATACCTCGACATTTTACACAGTGACCATGCTTCTAACTGTTGCGTAACAAATGTTTCGTAGATATATATTGTAACATGGATGCTCAAAGCGTTTCTAGGTAACGGTTCGACAGACACTTTCCCGCGAAATACGCAACAATAAAATGGTATTATGAAATCCGTTTGTAGGCAACGGAACTGTAAACACGACTATATAATAGAAATACTCTTTTCTATGGTGTCCGCGCCGTGACCGTACTATGCTACTGTTACTATGTCGTTTGCCAGAGACACAATCAGCAGTAATAAATCTGTTGTCAATATGTACAAAGTTACATTTTATACGTTATTCAATGTATGTATATACACATATGCCGGTCACGGTAGCCGAGCGGTCTAAGGCGTGCACTGTCTTCGCTCCCTCGGGAGCCGGGATCGTGGGTTCGAATCCCACTCAAGGAATGGATGTTTATGTGCGTTTTTCTGTGTTTGTCTACAGGTAGAGGCCTTGCGACGAGTTGATCATTCGCCCAAGGAGTCCTACCGTATGTGTAAGATCGAGAAAAACCGAAGTGAACGGAGTTCATGTAGGTAGGCCTAGGCCCACTGGGGCTGTAGTGCCAAGGGGGAAAAATAAACAGCCTTGCGACGAGTTGATCATTCGCCCAAGGAGTCCTACCGTATGTGTAAGATCGAGAAAAACCGAAGTGAACGGAGTTCATGTAGGTAGGCCTAGGCCCACTGGGGCTGTAGTGCCAAGGGGAAAAGATATACCACATATACAAGGCCTC